TTGGCCATGTTCGCGATTGCTCGCTGGGTTAGATTGCACCGGCGCCGGAGAATTAGGTCGCTGAGCCGTCAATAGTCGGATCGCCTCAAACAAATCGGCTGTTGTTTTCGCAATTGTCGCATTCTGTTCTATCACGCGTGATTCCAACGTCGGTTGCCGCCGTGTCATCTGTTCTAACCGTGAGTGCACAGAATCGTCGCTGTCGCTACTAGCTACTTGTGCGTACGTTTCTACCGCCATTAATTCCGAGGAAAGTCAGTTCAACGCAAAGCTTGTATTATACTGAATTTGAATCTGTTATTCATAAAAACAATGATCCATTACAAATCTTAAGAATCCAAAGAAGAGAGAGATCCTTAAGCGAATACAGAGAACGAGAGGAAGAAGACGAATGTTTGTTACAATAATTTTGATTAAAATGTATTTTTTCTCTCCTCTTCCTAATAACGCTTCAGTAACACAGCTCCTAATTAATCTGAATCGTTAATATCTCTGTTTATCTGAACCGTGTTATTGTATCGTCCTGTATCACGAAGCCTTTCCGAGGAATGTGGTGGAAAGAAGTTTTTCAAGCGATCGGAGGTGGAGCAGAAGAAAATCCAGAAGCTTCGGGAGGAAGAGCGGCTAGAGCAGGAGCTTAAGGCCCAGCGGAGAGAAGCATCCGCTATCGCCGATTCGAAATACTCCGCCGCATCTACTACCGCCAACGATTCGAAATCCCTAGCCGACGAGAAGAAGAACACCGAAACCCTACCTCTCCCGAGGCAGGAAGTGATTCGCCGCCTGAGGATCCTTAAACAGCCGATGACTCTCTACGGAGAGGACGACCAGGCGCGTCTCCACCGGCTCAACCACGTGTTGAAGGAAGGATTGTTCGAGGTGGACGGCGATCTATCGTCGGAAGGACAGACGAACGATTTCTTGCGAGACATCTCTGAGATGAAGAAACGGGACAAGAGTGGCGGTAGGAAGAGGAAGAACAGCGATGAAAGAGGGGAAAATAGGGATGATGATGTTGATGTTGTTGACGCTGATAAGGATCTGAAGCGTTTGGAAGCTGATTTCGAGGATCTATGCGACGAGGACAAGATCATTGTGTTCTACAAGAAGCTATTGATTGAATGGAAGCAGGAGCTCGATGCTATGGACGACACCGAGAGGAGAAGTGGCCAAGGAAAACGCATTGTAGCCACATTTCAGCAGTGTGCTAGATATGTCACTCCTCTCTTCAACTTATGCAGGAACAAGGTACACAACACAAGAAACAAAAACTGTCCCCCTTTCTCTTTTGTATAATAATGAGTTCTGTCCTTAAAAACTTGATGTTTTACAAATTGCAGGTTTTACAAGCCGAGATTCGTGGAGCTTTGATGATGATGGTGAACCACTGCAGAAAGAGGGACTACGTGGCTGTGAATAACCACTACATCAAGCTAGCCATAGGGAACGCACCATGGCCCATCGGTGTGACTATGGTTGGTATCCACGAACGTTCAGCTCGTGAGAAGATTCACACCGAGAGTGTTGCTCACATCATGAACAACGATACCACTCGCAAGTATCTCCAGTCGGTTAAAAGATTGATGACTCTCTGTGAAAGACGTTACCCACCAGTGCCTTTTAAACCCGGTTTGGGTTCGATAGCTAATTAGCCCGTTCGCTGCTCGCTGTTAATTTATTTTAACGTAGTTTAATATAATTAGGTATCGACTTTTTGTATGCAACTTAGAATCATCAGGTCCACTTTTTTTTTCTTTCTGTCCTTTTTTTTTTTCCCGTCTAAATCTTGACAGAAGCCCAAATTAGTAAATCAAAGCCTCAAACAATGAGACAAACAAAGTCGTTGTTCGCTCGAGAGAGTTATTTTCTAAATTTATGAAGTTCTTTTAGCTTAATCTTTGTAACTATTTTTATGAACATGATATAAAATACTTTTTTATAAACTCATGTGCTGCAGACTAAACGTTTTAATCAATGAATGTGTTGATAAGCTTTGTGTAGTCTATTCCACTAGCCTCTTTCCTTCAGTATTATATAATGTGTAACAAATTGTGTTATATGTCTTTAATCAAGTGGTAATAGATTATCTATCTCAACTCTATCTAATAAGCTTGCCCACTAAACTTTAGTTTTAGTAGGAAGATTCCATTAGTTTTGCTGCTTTTGATTTCTTATATGGTGAAAATAAGTATTTTCAATAACTCTAATGCTACATAGACAAGACATTTAGTACAACAACTGCAATGTTTATCTTTAGTAACTTGATTAAGAATGCTGGGCGCAAAGCAAATTTATGTCTAACTATCACCTTAGTGATTAAAAATATACGTTCTGTGAGCTCTTCTCTATGATCTCGCTTATTCATTTACATGGCATCTTTGGGGGCCAAGAATCTTATTTGGAAAATGTTGGAATAGTCTTCTCGCAATATGTTATGTTGGCTTGGACAAATTTTGCACTTTGGTACTTTGTATACCATATACCGAAAGAAAGATATAAAAATAGTCATTAAATATGATTAAAAATCTCGATAGTGATATATAGTTTTGGGGTAATATCGACCGTCTATAACGCCACATGGCAAATGGATGGGAATATGATTACTTCTCGTCCAAGTTCTCTCCTCTGAACCCAAATGCGAGAATTGAGACTAGCTAAACTGGAGGAACAATAACTCACAATTTCTATTTGTAGAAATTTGGTTCTTGGTGACTTGGTGTAAATAAATGTTAAGAACATTTGTAGAAATTCTTGTTCAAAAGGATGAAAAATGTTCAGTTTCTTCCTATATATTCACTTACATATTCATTACATTACACTTATATCAGATACAGAGAAAAGAAAAAGGATCCAAAGAAAACTTTCTTCTCGGTTATCAAACTCTCTCGCTCCAACAATGGCTTGAGTTGCTACTATTCTTGAGGTTGTCAGGCAAGCTGCTGCAACCGACCTTTTGAAGGTTGGGGAAAATTCAGGTAAGTGAATTTTGGCACAGTCATATGTAGTTAACATGAACAGTAAATACAATTAACGAGACTATAAACCAAAACATAGTAAAAGCAGAGAAAAACCCTTTTTCCAAATTTTCTCATTGATTTGTTTGAGAAAAATGTAAGATTTGAACGGAAACGTGGAAGAAGAGAATAAAAAGGGTGGCCGTATCATTGCGGTGTATACCATGCGGTATATATCACTTTACATCTAGTTTTTCTGCACCATATATCTTAGGATTTTCGAAAGCTTTGAAATCTTTAGTGGAATAACGACTAAATTTTTTCATTATGTTGTCTTTTATGGGGAGGCACAAATTAAAATAAATCATATTTTTATTAGATCTTGCAACAATTGCAGTTTTATTTGTATTTTAGCTTATACTACTATTATATCCTTTTTGTCAAACTATTATTATATCCTATCGACGATTTCTTTTATATAAATGATCGGTTCACGGAATGTTATGCCTCGTGCTGCTAAGTCCTCTTGACTATGTGGTCTGCTCACGTATATATATTATACACAATTCTCAGACGAGCAAACAATGCCTTCTCTATATATATATACATCTATCGCTGTTAATTTATTTTAATGTAGTTGTAATCTTAATTACTAATTAGGTAACGACTTTGTACTTCAGACTTCAGAGCCATGTGGGTGGGGCAACTTATGAAATACTATCTCTGATGCAACTTATAATTATATCACTTCCCGAGTAGTACCAAATTTCTTACATATGTAATTACCAATGTTGAAGTATTCACAACGAAACATTGCATATATTAAAGCGTAGTGATTCATAATGCAAAGAGGATTAGGCATTTTCAGTGTAGAGAACATTGAAGTGAGAAAAAAGAGAACATGGTAGACAAGAGCACATACAAACTTTTCCATTTCCTCTAATCTTAAAAGTTCAACATGAAATCATTTTATAAGAGAATCAGAGCAGAAGAAACACAAGAGAAAAAATCAACAATATTTGTACCATCTAGGTTTTTTTTTTGTTGTTGCTTCTTCTCAAACTGGAGTTTAAAATTAAACTCTCACTATCACATACAGTTTGTTTTCTATCCCAATATATCAGCAGAATAAAAGTATAAAACTATCAGCCTCATTCTTCTGTTTTTCGGAGTTTAAGGCCCACAAACTATACAAAAGAAAACTCATCAGGCCCATTTTTTTGTGCGTATAGTCTTGTGCAGTTCTTTTGAGCCCGTCTACACAAGAAATCCTTAGAATCTTTTTACATTTTTGGAAAACTTAACGAAAGATATAAAAGACAAATATTTTTGTTAAGATTATTAAAATAGAATTCTTAAGAAGCAAGTTCATATAAAGTAAAATGCATGTGTAGCTTGTTTATGATGTTATAATAAATTTTCACTTCAAATTTCACAGAAAAACATTTCAGATTAGTACCCGAAAGGTGTAATTCTAAACCGAGAAGAAGAAGGTTCAGTTTCGGGAAAAAAATACTATCTGAAATATACAAAAGATACCACAAATATGATCCCCACAGTCACGTGCATTGTAGGGCTCGAAAGCCTACTGGGCCCCATGGCTCCGGCTCGAGAAATATATAACCTATAGGTTTCTGTGTCGCACGTGTGAAGCGAACCAGGGCCCACAGCTTCTGGTACCCATGCATGATTCCCATGTTGACCTGACTGAAGCGGGAGGTGCTGTGTTTGGGACCACTGAATCTGGGCCGTTCAAACTTAACATCGTCGTCAGATCTTATGAACCACAATTACCGGAAACCCAAAAGGCATCTTTTCTTTTAAGGGTGATCACCATCCCTTTTCTTCTGCAGCTTGACACATGCTCTCGACCGTGCACTCGCGTTTACATCCGTTGGATCCGACCTTACAGATTCTGATCTCACGGTGAAGAAACCAAAATCAAGATTTATCCCTTTTCCGCCGAACATTGTCAGACGAGCAAAGTGGTTTTCTGTATAATAAAACTTTTAAAGTCAAGCTTTAAAACAGTAAGTTAAGTGAGGTCATAGATTCACCTCCTTTCTTTTTCAATTTTTTTTCCTTAATATGCCAAAATTAGTTATAAACTTAACTATCGAATTGATTTTTTTTTTAATTATGGTTAGTCTAGAAAATACGTAACGATATCAAATGGGGGGGCCTATAGTCATCTCTTTTTTTTTCTCATTTAAATTACACTGTAAAAAAACCCAAGAACAAAAAGAAAACCTTATAAGTTACTCCTCTTTTTTCTCCTCCTCCTCGTGAAGGAAAACTCTTTTAGTCATTTCGCTCCTCGAGAATTACGCAGCACGAAACAAAAGCCCCAGAGATAACTCAGAAAAAGTGTGAAGTAAATAACACAGAAGAAACAGAGAATGACGGCATCAGGAGGAGGAGGAGGAGGAGGAGGATCAGCGGCGGCGGGAGCGGGAGTGACGGGAAGGATGCCGACGTGGAAGGAGAGAGAGAACAACAAGAAGAGAGAGAGAAGAAGAAGAGCCATAGCAGCTAAGATATTCACCGGACTCAGATCTCAGGGCAATTACAAACTCCCTAAGCACTGTGACAACAATGAAGTCCTCAAAGCTCTTTGCGTCGAAGCTGGTTGGATCGTCCACGAAGACGGTACCACTTACCGGAAGGTTCGATCTTCAGTTTCTTTAAATTCAAACCGATTTTACAATTTTCCGACATTGAACTAATTTTTGTTTGTCCGAACAGGGATCCCGCCCAACAGAAGCAACACCGCCGCGCGTGAGCGCGTGTTCCTCAATCCAGCTCAGTCCACAATCATCGGCCTTTCAAAGCCCAATTCCGTCGTACCAAGCGAGCCCAGCCTCGTCGTCTTACCCAAGCCCGACCCGGTTCGATCACAACCCTGTCCGGTTCGACCCCAATCAATCCTCTGCTTATCTCATCCCTTACCTTCAAAACCTCGCTTCGTCGGGAAACCTCGCTCCTCTCCGAATTTCCAATAGTGCCCCTGTAACACCTCCGATTTCGTCTCCTAGAAGCTCAAATCCGAGACTTCCTAGATGGCAAAGCAGTAATTTCCCAATCTCAGCTCCTTCAAGCCCAACACGGCGTCTCCACCACTACACATCGATTCCCGAATGCGACGAATCGGATGTCTCCACGGTTGATTCTTGTCGATGGACCAGTTTCCAGCCGGTAACCGTCTCTCAGACATGTCCGCCGTCGCCAACTTTCAACCTCGTCAAAAATAGCGTTTGTGTTAGCGGTAGTGGCCGCGGCGGAGGAGACGTGGCCGTGAAGCCGTGGGAAGGTGAGAAGATTCACGATGTTGGTATCGATGACTTGGAGCTGACGTTAGGTAACGCTAAAGGACGCGGCTAGAAGGTTGAGAAGGGTAATATCGTAATTCTAAATATTAGGAATGGATCGGTTCGGTAACGTGTTTCCGGTTTAACCGTAGCTAATAGAAAGATGGTCTAGGGATCTTCACGTATTCATGAGCCATGAGTCCATGACCACCACTGTACAGTCATTATCAATGATGCTTCATTTCACAAATCTGATTATCATATATATATTTATTTTTAAAAAATGTGATGGTGAATATGAAAATGCAAGTGTGTGAGTGAAAGTGAGAGGGACCATTCCCCATGTGGTGATGGGGCATGTGAATGTGATTTTTATCTTTATCTCTCTCTCTCTCTCTCTCTAACCACGCGTGACTTTTCAATTCTATCTATCTTCATACCTATTTTTAGGTGGACCTGTAATTTTTATATGCTTTTTAAAGAAATTCGATGAGAAACATTTTCCATGAATGAATATTTCGTCAAGTGACTTTATTTTATTGTTGGAGAATGCTGTTTTGCTATAAACATGAGTGATTGGTTGGTTCATGTGTTCTGAGACTTCTGTCACTGTAAAAGTTGTGATCGAGATTGATATGTAAAGGACTTATACAGATTCGGTTCGAAACAGAACCAACCGGTTTGGATATCCATATTTCTTACATATTCATGTTTTTGACAAGAAATCGGTCGGTAGGTTAGTTTTTGACTTTTTCATTCAATGGGCTTATAACATGACATTTTAGTAGAGTAAATGGGCCGTAAATAGGCCGAAGTTATGTTACAAAATTGCACTGCAAATATATTTGTATGGTTCAGGAAGAAAAATAAAATAATAGGAGTGGGGTAACGGATAAACACAATCTAATGTTTTGGAAAAAACAAAAACAAAAACTTTAGCGTCATCAAAATAATATATAAAAATTGTTGTTGTTTTTTGTGAAAGAATAATTATTGTTAAATAAACGATCGAATAATTCAAACGTTTTTAATTATTGTAAGAAAAAAAATATATATAAGAAAGAAAACTGACCAAAATTCTAAGTTACCTAAAAAAACATTATAACAAACATATATTCAGTTTGTCAAACTCTCTTACCGATTTAAGCTGAATTTGAAGCATTTATGTGAACTATGAGAATTTTGATTCCTATGCAGAATTGGTAATTGAGACGGACTGCTTATAAACTTGATTGAAGATGAAGAAGAATGGCCAGCACTATAGAGTTTTTGCACCCCAATTTTCATAATTTTTATATAGTTTTTACTCCACATTCTTTTAATATTCGAGCTGATCGTCTTGCTAAAAGCGCTTCCGTGGTTTGATATATTCTCATGTAAATTTTTTGATTCCAGAGTGATTGGCTTCCTTCCGAGCATAATATTTTTGGAGTTAATGTTTAATATATGGAGCATTCGCAGTAAAAAAAAAATCAGTCTGTCTTACACGATATAGTAATAATCAACAATAATTTCACATAAATCATAAATTAATCCACTGTAAACAAAAAAAAAAAGACAACAAAAAATCATACCTATTAGGAATGAGTGAATCTGTATAACTTATAAACCACTGAATTCAATCCACCGGATCACAAATATCTCAGTTAGTTATACGAATCTATGAATTAGGCGTAGTTAATCTATATAAAGATTGATAATCCATTTTAATCATATTTGGGAATGGGATATATATATAGTTAAGAGTTACACGATGAAGATACGTACCTGTAAAACCAAAAAAAAAGAGTAACTTAGCAAAAACAAAAGACAAGTACTCGTTCATTAGTATTACGAAACAGAACCAAATCTTACTCCCTATTCTTTAATTGTTACATGTCTTCGAGAACTGAAGAGCTGAATTTGTAGTCGGACAACACTATACGCAAAAGTATATCATATTTTACGTAAGCCATAAACTTGGCTTTATCTTGATAGAAATAAATTTTAGCTTTATCATATCTTGATAGCAAAATAAATAATTTTTTGCTTCCACAAAACTATGAATAATATTAAGCAATACACATATATATAGTTCGAGAAAATTATTACGTAATTCCAGAGAAAAATTACCTCTTTATCTTGAATTTCATCAGGAATGTATATATATGTTTCGAGCGAACGTGGCTGCTCTTTATTTACTTGACTCGCTCATAGCATCCGATATGGTGTCGTTATGGTACTCCGACGCTCAGACTGACGCTCAGTAGCATGACGATAAGCTAACAATTCCATTCCATATACGGCACCGTTCACGCTGCCCAATGTTGATAAATTTTGTTTGAATAAATCAAATGTTGAATATTTCTCCATCATATAAGTCAACTATTGATAATAACTACCATTGATTTTGAGGACGGAGACGTTTGTCGATGCTGAGATAAGTGAGATAAAATTCCGTTTGATCCCCGACGATATGACGAATTTAGGCTTATTGATTAGTCTATGCAATATAAGATTAAAGATTTACATAAGATTGTGCTCAGTGTTTTTTGCTGGAATTTCAAACGGATTCTCTCAATATGTTTCTGTGACAGGATAAGTTTTACATGCTTTGAATAAACATCATAGAGACAAAAGGACTTCAAAGCAATTATAACATGTATGAACAAGACCGTATGCAATATCAGAAGTTATAAGATTGAAGACTAACTGACTAACCTAAGATTATTTTCAGTATTTATTGCTAGAAATTCAAACGGATTCTCTCACACACTGTTTCGGAAACTCAAAATGTTTTTGTGGCAGGAAAAGTAATTTTTTCATAACATGTTGTTGGCTAGTTTTACATGCTTTGAATATACATCATAGATACAAAAGGACTTCAAAGCAATTATAGCATATATGAATAAGACCGTATAGAATGGAGGTTTCTAGACAGTAATGTTTAGTTTTGGCCTTTTGAGACAACTTGTATTGTATGATAACAACACAACTTGGATTTTTGTGTACGATCAATCACCTATAACATTATGCTTCATGATAACTCAAAGTAATGTACTGTTCTGACCAGTAGACTAAGACAAATTAGAGAGATTGGTTATCATCATACTTATTTAGTTTATAATGCGATGAGGTCCTGGCCTAAAAGCTGTAAGCAGACGATCTCTCATTTCTTATTAGAGGATGGCGATATGATGATAGTCTAAATATTTTCAAGATAGTCGATGATGCTTTCGGATACCATATAGTTTTTGAAAAAAAAAAATAGGTATCAATTTTTGAAAGAAGATCCTGAAAAAATTCATAAAGAAATTAAAAGCAAATTGACTTTGATTTTTGAATAATCCACATGGTTTCTGATTCTATTGTAACAAAAGAAAGTATATTCTGGCAGACGGCAGGATATGACAATCTGAAAACAATTGAAAGACTCTTACTAAAACAAAGTTATTTATATATGTGTAAATAAGATAATGATACGCACTAGCTATTCCAACATATAAGGTAAGGTTTTCACCTCTCTCTCTTTTTTAAAAAAGTTTTTTCCCTCTTGTAAGCACTTATGTGTCTTTTTGTTTGACCAAATATAAGAAGTGGTGTAAGTGACAAAAACAAAACTACGATGTGTTTGACATCAGAGAGTACAAAAACAACAACTTCCCATCTTTTCCTCCTTATCTTATATATTCAAGTTGAATTTAATTCAGCTTACAAAATGTGTGAATAAGGGGATGACATGTTGAAGTATTTCTTTTTAATTATTTACAACTCATATATCAAATTTGAACTCGAGTTATGATGTTGGATAAACTTCAATATTATCCTAAGTCTAAGATGCCAAATCTAATGTGATTAGGATAAGATAGACTTAAGGGAATCTTATTGTAATTAGAAGTTAGCTAATTCGATAGATAATAGGATTGGCAATGTGTACCAAGACTATAAATACCAATGTCGAGTTGTGACATTGATATTGAGAACAAAGGTGTTTAGTTTTTGAGTTATACTTTCTAAACACCAATAAAAGAGAAATATTCTTTTATACAAAGTGTGCCTGTTCTTGGGTACTCTGTTCTTAGATCTTTTATTTGGTATCAGAGCTATAGAACAAGATCCATTGACAGGAGCTTGATCAAGAGACTGCAGGCAACCGAGGGAGAAGACAGAACCGAGACATGGGAGATGTCAATCCTCATGCCCGCCCAAAGGATGTAATTCCTTCTTCCATTCAATGTCTCATGTTAACCGCAACTAACTATACGGTTTAGGCCATGAGAATGAAAGTCCTCCTGCGAATTCACAAAGTTTGGGAGACTATTGAACCTGGTTCTCTATCTCTCGAGAAGAATGATATCGCAATAGGCATATTGTTTCAGTCAATCCCGGAGGCCTTAATCTTACAAGTCGGTGAGCAAGAATCTCCTAAGAGAATTTGGGAAGTAATAAAATCAAGAAATCTCGGAGCTGATCGTGTTAAGGATGTGAGACTTCAAACTCTCATGTCAGAGTTTGAGAGATTGCGAATGAAGGACACTGAGACAATCGATGGCTTCTCCAGGAAGTTATCAGAAATTGCTTCAAAGTCTGCTGCTCTTGGGCAAACTATAGAAGAACCAAAACTTGTAAAAAAGTTTCTCAATAGTTTGCCAAGAAGTAAATATATTCACCTCATCGCTTCACTTGAGCAAGTTCTGGATTTAAACAAAACCAGCTTTGAAGACATCGTCGGAAGACTCAAAGCGTTTGAAGAAAGGGTTTTCGATGAGGAGAATCATACGGAAATACAAGAGAAGGTTTTGTACGCAAAATCAGAAGAACGAAACTCATCTCGAAGCAGAGGACGGGGCAAAGGAGGAAAAGGACGAGGAAAAGGTCAATCTTTACAAGAAAGTACAGATCAGAATCGATCAAAAGACAAGAAAGATAGATCGAAAGTGATCTGCTACAGGTGTGATAGACCCGGCCACTTTCCCTCTAAGTGTCCCACAAGAATACAGAAAGATCAAGAATCAAATAAGGTCGAAACAGAGGAAGCTGATGTGGCTCTTTATATGTATGAGATCGTATACTTAAACGAAGGAAAGGTACTTCCAAAGAACTTCGAGACAACTACGGAAGAAGAAGGGTTATGGTATCTCGACAACGGGGCGAGTAATCATATGACCGGACACAAGGAGTATTTCTCGGAGCTCAACGAAAGTATTAAGGGAAAAGTAAAGTTTGGCAATGGTTCATGTGTCGAGATAGGAGGAAAAGGATCAATACTTTTCCAAAGCAAATCCGATGAACAGAAGCTTGTAACAGATATATATTATATCCCCGAGCTCAAAAGCAATATATTGAGCTTAGGACAAGCAACTGAAGTGGGCTGCGATGTACGGATGAGACAAGATAATCTTACCGTCCATGACCCGAGAGGAAGATTATTGGTAAAAGTAAACCGATCACCTAACAGACTATACAAAATCAAGCTGAAGATAGGCAAACCGATTTGTTTAAGAACCAGCATAGAAGAGGACACATGGAAGTGGCATGCAAGGTTGGGACATATAAACTTCAAGACCCTGAAGACGATGTCTCAACAAAAAGTAGTACATGGGATGCCTAAGATCAGAGAAGAGAATAAACTGTGCGAGTCTTGCTTAGTCGGAAAGCAAACACGACAGTCGTTTCTGCAAGCAACCATGTTTCGAGCCAAGAAGCCATTAGAACTTCTACACACAGACCTTTGCGGACCCATATCACCAGCGACTGCAGCTAATAACAGATACATATTTGTTATTATAGACGACTACTCGAGATATATGTGGACTATACTGATGAAAGAGAAGAGTGAAACGTTTCAGAAGTTCAAATTGTTCCGAAGTCTAATTGAGAAGAAGCTGGGAATGACGATATTAACTCTAAGAACTGATAGAGGCGGGGAGTTTACGTCAACAGAGTTCCAAGACTACTGCAACGACAACGGCATAAAAAGACATCTAACTGCGCCTTACACACCGCAGCAAAACGGGGTGGTAGAGAGGAGAAATCGGACTCTAATGGAGATGACGAGGAGTATTCTCAAAGCAATGATGGTACATAATTACTTATGGGGGGAAGCAGTTCGCCACTCGACCTATTTAATTAATCGGGTACCAACGAAGGCTTTTGACAATATTACTCCTTACGAAAGCCTGAAAGAGAAGAAACCGAGACTTGATCACTTGAGAGTTTTCGGATATCTTGCTTACACAAAGATCGATTCTCATCATCTTAGAAAACTAGATGATAGATCGAAGCCACTGGTAAACCTTGGGATCGAGCCTGGATCCAAGGCATACAGGTTATATAATCCGACAACTCGTAAGGTAATAGTAAGTCGTGACGTCTTGTTTGATGAAAGCTCAAATTGGAACTGGAACGAGAAAGCAAACGGATCGTATCTAGATCCCGGAATGTTTCAGTTGCGATGGGGAGAAACGTTGGATGTCGGAGAAGGACCTGCAGTAGTCGGCAACGATTTGCCTAACGAAAACAACGAAGCCAGTGATGACGAGCATCACGAATACGACAATCACGGAGCAGAGGATAACAACAACGGTGGTGAAGCAGAACAACAAGCTGTGCAACAGCCTCAACAACCTTTGAGAAGGTCAAACCGTGATACTTCTCTACCAAGTTACCTCAGTGATTACGTCCTGTGTCTTTGTGAAAAGGTACTTCTCTCAATAAATGATGAGCCAAGTAGCTTTAAAGAAACAGAGAACTCCGAAGAGTAGAGCCTAGCATGCAGAGAAGAAATCGACTCAATCAATAAAAATAAGACATGGTTTCTGATTGATAAACCACATGAGACTAAGATCATTGGTCTTAAGTGGGTTTTCAAAATCAAGAAAAACGCAGATGGTACAATCAACAAGTACAAAGCACGTCTTGTAGCTAAAGGTTATGTACAAGAAAGCGGCATAGATTTTGACGAAGTTTTTGCACCAGTTGCTTAACTCGAAACCATAAGACTATTAATTGCTTTGGCGGCTTCACACGGATGGGAGATCCATCACTTGGATGTGAAAACTGCATTCTTACATGGCAATTAAAAGGAGGATATGTATGTATCTCAACCTGAAGGGTTCGAAGTTAAGGGTCAAGAACACAAGGTCTACAAGCTATCGAAGGCTTTGTATGGACTAAGACAAGCTCCACGAGCTTGGAACACAAAGCTAAATCTGATTCTGAAAGGAATGAGGTTCAAAAGATGCTCTAAAGAAACCTATGTATATCGTAAGGAAGAAGGAGACACTCTGCTCATTGTCGCCATTTATGTGGATGATTTGTTTATTACAGGAAACACCATCAAAGTAATAAATGATTTCAAGATTGGAATGGCAACAAAGTTTGAGATGTCTGACCTAGGCAAGCTCACATATTACCTCGTAATGGAGGTATACCAAGGAGAAGATGGCATCGAAATTAAGCAAGAAAGCTATGCGCTAAGGATTTTGAAAGAAGCAGGTCTCGAAACATGTAATCCAACTCAGGTACCAATGGAGTTTGGACTGAAAGTTTCTAAGGCGCAAGAGGAAGCAGAGATAGATGCCACGAGTTATAGAAGGAATGTAGGCTGCTTAAGGTATTTGCTGCACACAAGACTGGACCTGGCGTTTGCTGTTGGAGTTGCCAGCAAATATATGCAAAGTCCTCGCAAGTCACACGGCGATGTGATGAGGCAGATACTTCGATACCTCAAAGGAACAGTCACTTACGGTCTGAAGTTTGAGCGCGGAGGTTCAAAGAGAATAACAGGCTACAGCGACAGCATCCACAACATAGATCAAGATGATGGTAGAAGCACCACGGGCCACATATTCTATTTCGGATCTTCACCAATTACTTGGTGTTCTCAGAAGCAGGACACGGTGGCTTTATCATCATGTGAAGCAGAATTCATGACTGCAACGGAAGCAGCTAAACAAGCGATTTGGCTGCAGGACATCCTCAATGAAATTACAGGTTGGAAGGCCGAACAGATCGTTATCAAGATCGATAATAAGTCCGCTATAGCTCTCACGAAGAACCCTGTTTTCCACGGCAAAAGCAAGCACATTCACAAACGTTATCATTTTATACGAGAGTGTATAGAAAGAGACATTGTAGATGTAGAGCATGTTCCGGGGACTGAACAAAAGGCGGACATTCTCACCAAGGCTTTGGCGCGAATCAAGTTTAAAGAAATGAGAGAGTTGATTGGTGTAGAAGACATGTCCAAGACCGATTTGAAGCTTAAGAGGGAGAATGTTGGATAAGCTTCAATATTATCCTAAGTCTAAGATGCCAAATCTAATGTGGTTAGGATAAGATAGATTTAAAGGAATCCTATTATAATTAGGAGTTAGCTAATTCAATAGATAATAGGATTGGCAATGTGTGCCAAGACTATAAATACCAATGTCGAGTTGTGACATTGATATTGAGAACCAAGGTGTTTAGTTTTTGAGTTATACTTTCTAAACATCAATAAAAGAGATATTCTTTTATACAAAGTGTGCTCTGTTCTTAGGTACTTTGTTCCTAGATCTTTTATATGATACTACGGAGGTTTTAACACACATCTTTAGAAATGTCGATCAATTATTATTGATGGATTATTCTACTTGAGAGATTAATGGTCGATCAATATAAAAAGGTATCAAGAAGTTGAACAATAATGGTGGATCAATATAAAAATATCAGGATGATGGGGTCCTATACTATACTGCCCATATAAAAGCATTAATTGATCGATGAAATTACTGTCTATTATAGAAGCAAGAAACCAAAAATACGTAGGGTAACAGGATTTGAGCAAATTGCAACGTTACAGTGACATTATTCAAGCATCTATGACTTATTCGCATCATCCCAGTTTTTTATTATTATTATTCTGTGTTTTGAATTGTATGCATATTATGTATGAATGCATACATGACATAACTGCAACCACACTATATTCTATATATTTGCATGATGGCTTATCATGTCCCATGTATATTCGTATGTTATGTATACATAATCTTACGAGTATGATCGATCCTTTGGTCGATGCATCAAACTCAAAAGGGATCATTCACGGGATGGCTTTCACGTGGTTAATTATTTTCTCTATATAAGTAAACATATATGCACTTCACTAAGATACACGAGTAACACTTACACCTAAATATTTATATTAGTTATATTATCTATATAAGACAATTAAGGTGGTAGATTAGACCTTATATTATACTATTAACAAACGTTTGGAAGACTTTTGGTTCTATATATCAAACTCACTTGCGAGTATAACCCACACAACAAACAAAAGAAAAGCCAACGTTCATCAATATATGCTAATTATGCAGGTTACAAGACCACATGCTGCCATGTTCGCTAGCCCGGGAATGGGACACGTCATCCCGGTGATCGAGCTCGGAAAACGCTTAGCCGGATCCCACGGCTTCCACGTCACCATCTTCGTCCTCGAAGCCGACGCAGCCTCCGCTCAATCGCAATTCCTCAACTCACCTTGCTCCGACAAGACCCTTGTTGACGTCGTCGGCCTCCCGTCTCCGGATATCTCCGGTTTAGTGGATTCGTCAACCAACATCGGGATCAAGCTCTTGACCATGATGCGTGAGACCATTCCAACCCTCCGATCAAAGATCGCGGAGATGCAGCACAAACCAACGGCTCTGATCGTAGACTTGTTCGGCATGGACGCGTTGCGGCTCGGTGGCGAGTTCAACATGTTGACTTATATCTTCGTCGCTTCAAACGCACGTTTACTCGCGATGATAATTTATTTCCCAACGCTGGAGAAAGACGTCGAAGAAGATCACATAATCAAGAAGAAACCTTTGGCTGTGCCTGGATGTGAACCGGTTCGGTTTGAGGATACTCTTGAAACATTCCTTGACCCGACCGCCGAGCTATACCGGGAATTTATTCCTTTTGGTTTAGTTTTCCCAACCGTTGATGGTATTATTGTGAATACATGGGATGATATCGAACCCAAAACGTTGAAATCTCTTCAAAACCCAAAGCTCTTGGGTCGGATCGCTCGTGTGCCGGTTTATCCAGTTGGTCCTTTGAGCAGACCGGTTGATCCATCGAAAACCAATCATCCGGTTTTAGATTGGTTAAACAAACAACCGGACGAGTCGGTGCTTTACATCTCATTCGGAAGCGGCGGCTCACTCACGGCTAAACAGCTAACCGAACTGGCTTGGGGGCTCGAGCTAAGTCAGCAACGGTTCGTTTGGGTGGTCCGACCGCCGGTAGACGGTTCGGCTTGCAGCGAGTATTTCTCGGTTAACAGCGGTGAAATACGAGACGGTACGCCGGATTATCTACCGAAAGAATTCGTAAACCGGACTCAAGAAAGAGGCCTCGTGGTCTCATCGTGGGCCCCTCAAGCCGAGATCCTGGCCCACCAAGCCGTTGGAGGGTTTCTGACTCACTGCGGGTGGAATTCGATTCTCGAGAGCGTTGTTAGCGGCGTTCCGATGATTGCTTGGCCGCTTTTCGCGGATCAGATGATGAATGCGACGCTTCTCAACGAGGAGATTGGAATCGCCGTCCGATCTAAGAAACTTCCGTCCGAGGAAGTTGTTTCAAGGGCGGAGATCGATGCCTTGGTGAGAAGGATTATGGTGGAGGAGGAAGGTTGCGAGATGAGAGAGAAGGTTAAGAAGCTGAGGGACACGGCGGAAAAATCACTGAGTTGCGACGGTGGATCGGCGCACGAATCGCTGTCGAGAGTGGCGAACGAGTGTGACCGTGTTTTGGAGCGTTCTAGAAGAATGGCTCGTGGTGCCTAGGAATGCGTACCGTTTTGAGAATTTACGTTTGCACTGCTTGTTGTTTTACTGTGTTTTTTTAGTATGATATTTGTACTTAGTTTACGGGCCCTGCCACATGCTATCACGTCGTTTATTGTGTCAGCGCACTTGCAGTCACTAATGTTTATTTACATTGTACAAATAAATAATTTGTGTCTAGTTTGTATACTTCTGTGTTTTTTAATCTCCAAGTCTTCGGTTATTGAACAAAGGGCTGGATGCTTGACGTCAAACTGAAATGTTAATCTAAACACTTAATGTAAAAGAATCTGATGATGTACAAAATCACTATGTTGATCATATTTATTGCACTAGTTATATTAAGATTTGTTAGTCAGCTAATCATTAGTAATCCTCCTTAGGTAATTGTATATATTATATAATCAAGATACTGTACGTCACATCTAACTTCAAAAGGGAGTAGCTCAATTTTGTCTTATACTCACTTTTTCATCCAACTTTACTGATCTCTCTATTCGTGAGGAATCTTTGATTTTTTTGTATCTGATTAATTAAGGAAACTTAATTTAATTCGAAATGAGATTAAGAAGAAACAAATAACAACATGACAGTTCCTCTACCTCCGATATTTTTGGGATATGCTTGGGAGCATTTTGGTTTCAAATAAAATACTTCAATCATTTTAAGCAATGACGTGTGTTACAATATTTAACCCCAAATTGATTATTATGCATAATGCATTACCCACCGCAAAATATACACAGTTTGTGAGTTTTTAAAAAAGAATTCGATCACCTTCATGTATCGCGTTTTAATATTTCTCGTCTTATATGCCCATTACTGGTAGATTTATTACAAGTGGTTATACATTTCAGTATCGTGAAAAGGTACAACAGTATTTAATTGAATCCACCTAGAATAATTGGTTATGTGATTATTAAAATACGACACTAGCATATGATTTATCTCATATAAAACTTAATTCTAGAAGGTACAATAGAGATAATTTTAGGTGTGTTATGATCATGTGCCTTAAGATTACAGACCAGTCTCTCTATTTTTATTTCGAGAAAACTTGAACTATTATTGATGGGTTTTTTTATGTGAAGTGCGTTTCCGTGACAAACCGGTTGACAATTAGAAGAAGAAAAGAAAGCTTCCACCACACGCTACTGCTGCATGTAAGCTATCCCACTCATGAGTTTGATGATAATAATAGGTTTCAAATTAGATATAATCTTTGTAAGACAATACAAAGAGTTTGAAAGAAACACACAAGAAGTTAATAGTCATTGTTTGGTTTCCATAATTGCTAAATCCCGATTTGGCCCTGAGAGAGGATTATTAACCTTTACAACAACAAGCATGATGTGTTCTGCTTTTCTTCTTCTACAACATCCGATCCTCTTTCCCCGTCTTGCAGTTCCTCCCAGTGAATTCACTATAGCTTGTTCTGTTTTACAGGATCCAATAGGTGTTAGAATTACATTACAAGAAGTTCAGGAGAAGAGATGATGTGAGATGCTTACTTTCTTCACTCGAGTGAGAAGTTCAGGACTTGATGCTATTAGAATACAACCTGTAGCCTAGCCTGGCAGGGTAATGAATATGGAGATTAGCAAAACAGAGGAAATAAAGAAAACAATTTTAAGGATATGAAACAAGTGATATATTACAATAGGTGAGAGAGAGAAGAGAAGGACTGACTTGCAAGTAACACACAGAGTGACGTGGATTCACAATCCCCAAATCTCTATATATCCCAAACTAAAAGCTCTAGATAATGACACTGAACCTTAACTTAAAAGCTTAAGAGATTGAACACTAACTTTCGCTTTTCAGCGTAAAAGAGAGTATCATAAGAGAAATAACCAACCCAAACGACCTGTTGATACCAAAGCAGCTCATTAGCAATTTTAACCTATGTATCTATTGTCATTATGATCTCAAACTAAACCAAGCCAGTTAAGCATTAATCTCTCACTACAAAAAGCATCAGGAAGATCATCAATCAGTTGAGGTTTCCAAGTCTCTTGAGATTCTTCCAGGAACCATTGGATCTTTAACTTCCTCTGTAGTCACAGTGCCTCTCACATGGTCCATGACTGTGTCTTTGTTCACAATTTCCATTTTTAATGTGCTCCACTTACTCGAAAAGGAAGGCTTGGAGCCTCGATCTCGAATTCTCGATCATCTTAATTCCTTGTCAAAGACACCGGTACGCGAGAGTGGGAGTGAGGTTATTAATTATAAAAAAAATATTTTTGAATAATATTAAACTAAATCTCCCTTTGTTTTAGACCTACATATTTATTCCATTCTATTGTTTGTCTATGGAAATTGTAAAGAGAAAAAAGGTTGATATATATATATATATATATATATATTTTTTTTTTTTTATTTTTTTTTTTTTTTTTTTATTTTTTTGGTCGACATTGACGTACAAAGAAAATCAAAGATATTACCAGTAATTTTACTGATAAAATAGAAAATGGAGCAGGTTTGTAAAAGACATTTAAGGTGGTAGTAGATAGACCTTTATCATATTTACAAACGTATTACGTAAAAAGTAATTATTTATATAAACGTTTGAAGACTATATAGGTTTTTATATATTAAACGCACAAAACAACAACATCAACAAACACCCAACGTTCATCGACTCGTCGATCGAAGCATGGAGATTACAAAACCACACGCGGCCATGTTTGCTAGCCCGGGAATGGGCCACGTCATCCCGGCGATCGAGCTCGGAAAACGCTTAGCTGGATCCCATGGCTTCTACGTCACCATATTCGTCCTTGAAGCCGACGCAGCCTCCGCTCAATCTCAATTCCTCAACTCACCTGGCTCCGACAAGACCCTCGTTGACGTCATCGGCCTCCCGTCTCCGGATATCTCCGGTTTAGTGGACCCATCAGCCAACTTCGGGACCAAGATCATGGCCATGATGCGTGAGACCGTTCCCACACTCCGGTCAAAGATCGCTGAGATGCAGCACAAACCAACGGCTCTTATCGTAGACTTCCTCGGCTTGGAGGCGTTACGGCTCGGTGGCGAGTTCAACATGTTGACTTACCTCTTCATCGCTTCAAACGCGCGATTTGTCGCGTTGATGGTGTATTTCCCGACGCTGGACAAAGACGACGAAGAAGAGCACATAATCAAGAAGCAACCTTTAGCTATACCGGGATGTGAACCGGTTCGGTTTGAGGATACTTTTGAAATATTCCTTGATCCGTCGAGCCGGATGTACCAGGAATCCGTTCCACTCGGTTTAGTATACCCGACGTTTAATGGCATTATTGTGAATACATGGGGTGATATGGAGCCCAAAACTTTGAAATCTCTTCAAGACCCAAATCTCTTGGGCCGGATCGCTCGTGCACCGATTTATCCAATTGGTCCTTTGTGCAGACCAGTTGATCCATCGAAAACCAATCATCCGGTTTTAAATTGGTTAAACAAACAACCGGACGAGTCTGTGCTTTACATCTCATTCGGAAGCGGCGGCTCTCTCGCGGCTAAGCAGCTAACCGAATTGGCTTGGGGGCTCGAGCTAAGCCAGCAACGGTTTGTTTGGGTGGTCCGTCCTCCGGTAGACGGTTCGGCTTGCAGCGAGTACATATCGGTTAACAGCGGCGAAATACGAGACGGTACGCCGGATTATCTACCGAAAGAATTCGTAAACCGGACTCAAGAAAGAGGCCTCGTGGTCCCTTCATGGGCCCCCCAAGCCGAGATCCTGGCCCACCAAGCCGTTGGTGGGTTTTTGACTCACTGCGGGTGGAACTCGATTCTGGAGAGCGTTGTTAGCGGCGTTCCGATGATTGCTTGGCCGCTTTTCGCGGATCAGATGACCAACGCGACGCTGCTCAACGAGGAGCTCGGAATCGCCGTCCGATCAAAAAAATTGCCATCGGAGGGAGTGATTCTGAGGGTGGAGATCGAGGCGCTGATGAGAAGTATTATGGTGGAGGAGGAAGGTTATGAGATGAGAAAGAAGGTGAAGAAGCTGAGGGATACGGCGGAGAAATCGTTGAGTTGCGACGGTGGATCGCTGTGGAGAGTCGCCGAGGAATGCCAACGTCTTTTGGAGCCTGTTATTAAAGTCACGGCACGTGATGCCTAGGAATGCTTACCGTTTATTAATTTTGTGTTTCAAACTTCGTGCCATTTGAGTGTTTTCAGAATATCGTATTCAGTTTACGAGTCTTGCTAGCTGCCTGCTATATCACCAATGTGTTAAATTTGTATTAAACTTTATATTAAAAATAAATCTATAGTTCGGTCTTTGATCATCAATGAAAGGTTTGTATCTGATTCAGATATTTGAAGTCGATCCGAAACGTTGATTTAAGAGTTAAAGCTCTTTTATAGGAGGAATATGATGATGTACAAAATCATTGTGATGATGGTATATAACTAAATTTGTTATGTAATATGATTTCTTAATCATTTACTAATCTCCTAAGGTAATTTTTATCATAATCAAAATTAGTATCGAACGTCACATCTAGTTGACGCATTATCGACCCAAAGAAACAAAAAGGGAGTAGCTCAATTTTGTCTTTCCTTATAGTACTGTTGATCCAACATTTTCCACCCTTTTAAAATAAACTATATATTCCTTCAACCTTTCGTTATCTCTGACAAAGATGCCATTAGGAGAGTGATCCAATGATCAAGTAAAGAAACACTATATGCAAAGAAAGGAAGAGAGTCACGTAAACAATAATCAAAGCCAAGAGAGTATAGCCGTAACATTCACTCGATGAAGTGGGAAAGGCCGAACCAAGTAGTGATTCAACTTTAAGAATCTCTATATGCATTTTGTATTTTAATGACGTGGGAGGTTAATTTAATCACATAAGGTTAGAAATAAAATACTTCAATCATTTTTAGGCGATGATGTGCGTTAGAGATAACTATAATTTGAGTAATTCGTGATTATCCCATGTATCATATAATCTTGTTCGTTGCCTTGCTACGCATGAAAATGTTTTATTATCATAGTTTCTTTTTTTTTTTCTTAAAGAACATAAATCATACAAAGAAAAAGCCACATCATTTCGGATCTTCATTCATTTGGGACTCATATAATTATTGAAGTACTCAACTCAAGATCATCCTGATGTCGTCGACTCCATCTTGGATATGCTACAAAAACAAGGGTAAGATCAATATTTCAAGCTCACGATGACCATCTCAAGGGAATCTGCCAAGTAAGCAAAATAATCTTTTTACTTCTTGATCTTAATTCTTGAATCTAACCTATATTGTATATACAGTATGTTTTTTTAAAATCCTTAGTTAATAACCAAATGTCTTTTTGTTGACCTAGCGTCCATGAACATGATTTGGGCGATGACGCTCGTCAGAGACACGAGAATGGTGAAGAAAGTTCAACATGAGATCCGAACTTGCATTAGAATCAAAACAAAGGACAGAAGAAGATCTTTGCATACTGAATCTTGTGGTGAAGGAAACCTATAAGACTACACCCAGCAGCTCCTCTGTTACACTCCAAGAGAAACAATGAGACAAATCAAGATTCAAGGCTACGACACAAGTGCTTGGTTGATAGGACGGGATCCTAAACACTGGAAAGATCCAGAAGAGTTTATCCCTGAGAGATTATGGGTAATTTTTCAAATGACGTAACTTTGAGATGTAACCTTTTGGTTCTAGTTTGGAGGTTCTGTCCAGGAATGACACAAGTGCCATCACCATGATTTGGGCAATGTCATAGCTTGTTACAAACCCGCATGTGATGAAAAAAAGTTCAAGACGAGATCCGTACTTGCAAAAGCCATGAGTACTTGAATCTTGTGATCAAAGAAACCTTAAGACTGTGCCCACCAGCTCCTCTTTTACTTCCAATTGAGAGCAACAATGGCTGATATTTCCTGACGAGTGACGAGAATAATTAATATCTAAAACATGGTGATGCCACCACTGTTAAAAAGGTTCCTCTTCAGCTTCTTCCAATTCTACAATCATTAATTAATTAATATGGAGTAGGAAATTAAATATTTTTAACAGTCGAGAAGAGAAAAATGACATGTATCATAGTATATGTTTCTTCTTTTCCCCTCTATATACTGTGTTGAATGATTATCTTTTAATATTTTACATAAACCCATGAGTTAAGGAAAACAAATACAGTAACGGCAAGACAATACCGATAAATGCCGTAATACTGTAATATGATTGGAATTACTGAATGTAGCCCCAGCAAAGCATTCAGTATATAATATAATGTTTCTGGTTTATATTATGTTGTAATCCACTTAATGGATGTAAAAAAAAAAATGCACTTAATGAAAATAAGAGGCACAAGAATGAAGAAACATTAATCAGTATAAAGCCTATATATAAGCTAAAGTATAGACATCAATCAACTTATCATATTGACTACTGAGCAATCAACTTATGTGGGACCGAGTGAAGCCTTTCCAACAATTGTGCTCTGGACCTTTGCAAATATACGTTTCAATTTTTGTTCAAAGTTATTTCCCTGTTTGGAAGAAATATTTTGCTGATAAAATATATAGAAATTGTCAAAGTAAATTTTTGGAGATATTTTGCTTAATTGGTTTCTCTTGTTTCTAGTTTTCATATTTGTATATATCTTGTTGTAGACTCAATAAAAAGTGGAAAGATATTATTTTGGAATAATTTTCATAGGAAGAAATGAAAAATGAAATAGTTGGAGATATTTCCCTTAAATTAAAATGGGTATTTACTAGAAAAGGTAGGTACTTAATTATTTCTAATTAGCTGTACGCTTCTATATACAGTCTAAACCCAAACTAATAACAAAGAATTTCAAATATTAACCTTATATGGGTATATTAAATTTAAATATATTATTACTATGACAAAAATTAAGAAATATTGGAAAATTTCTGAAATTGAACCAGTAAAATCACAATTTGATGCAAATTGAAATGTCATTTCTTCAAAATATGACCTTTAGCCAGATAAGTTATTTGTCAAAATATGTCTGATATGAACTTCAAAACTATTTTAATTGAGAATTATAGATTTATTTTAATATTCATCTGATGTAAACTAAATTATATTAGTTTTTAATTTAATTATTATATTTGATCAATTTTAATCAAAACTAGTTTAAATTTAATTGTAATGTTTTAAACATTGGGCATTTAAGATTTAATACGCCAAATTCTATCTTATCACTAAAATTACTAGTGATCTGATCCATTTTTTCTTCTTATTGATAATTTACTTAATAAAAAGAATCTGTCACTCTTGTTTTTTACCACTCTTTCTATGTAACAAACTGGTTAGAACCTGAACACACAAATATTATCTAAAAAGTGAAACGGAATGTGCATGCTTAATTTCCTTTTCTCACCTTAATTGGCTTTTCTTAGCTTTTTTTTGTGCTATTACCATTTGTACACTTCCTGCATATAGTTATTTCCAAATGAGTCACAGTATCAAGCCACATATCATTTGTATAAAATAGAAATTTGTTTAAAGAGATAAGATTATGAACGAAACCAGGCCATACATAGTGAAATCACTCGAATTCAAATTAATGAGTCTTATAATTGTCAGTTTATACATTAAACAAAAACAACACTTGTTTCCCTGTAAGCCTCACCGGACAAGAGCATCCATTTTCATAGATAACAAACGTCACGTAAATTACACAAGTACCCCCAAAATGTTGCAGTACTATAAATACGATCAAGTGTGTCCTCTTCAGATATCATCTTCTTCTTCACTCACTTCTAGACTTCAAATATGAGAACTCAGATTAACCAGAGACTTCCAACAATGGCGATTCCTTCGGCCATGTCGCTTTACCCAAACCACCCTTTTGTACTCTCGTCTGTCGGCAGTGAAAGCTATGAACGACGCTATGAGAATCAATTTGCCTTCAGCATCAGCAGAGAATTGCTACTCAACCCAGACGACATCGTCATAGGAGAGATGATCGGCGAAGGAGGCAACTCCGTCGTATATGAAGGCCTGTGTGTTTCCTCTCTCTCTCTCTCTCTCTCTCTCTCTCTCTCTCTCTCTCTCTCTCTCTCTCTCTCTCTCTCTCTCTCTCTCTCTCTCTCTCTTACTCACTCTCTCTCTCTCTCTCTAAATATTATACTCCTTATTTATGTGTTAATGGATAATGTTTCTCTTTTGTTTTTTTTTTTGCTTGTTATTTGTTTTCTTTCTTCCAATTTAATTTAATTTTCAGTTTACAGTGTCACTAAAGAATTTAGGGCTCAACTTATTAGGCGTATGAATTTAGGGCTCAACGAACTGCACTAGGATTATCTAATATCATTTTATTAGGTTTACCCCAAACAAGATCTTGCGATTTCATGTTTTTTTTTTTAATTATTTGATGTTCAAACCACTGTGAATTAAGTTTCATGGAAGCAGTAAGTGAAGCTTTGGTCTAACCTCACGAGGCAAACAATAAATAAATGTATTCAATTAGATCTACTCCACAGGTTTGCGTGGATCTAGCTAATGTCACATTGAAACCATTAATTGAGAAAAATCTTAATCAGACGCATATGAATGAAGTTTATTGCTAATCACTGTTTTTGATTAGCATCTTACCTCTCAAAAAATTCGAATTAATATCTTTTTCATATGTTCGCTCTAATGATTTATAGCTACCAAAACCGAATTCCTGTGGCGGTGAAGAAAATTGAGCCAGGTAGAACAGCTGCAGCAAGCGTAACGCACAAGGAAAGGTTTCAAAGGGAAGTTCTGTTACTATCCAAGCTGAAACATGACAATATTGTAAAGGTATAACAAAACAAAAACAAAAATCATTTGCTGTTTTTCAATGTTTATGTTATAAATAATGAGTAAACATGTGTGTTGGATGAATTGTGGATAGTTTGTGGGAGCTTCCATAGAGCCTGATATGATCATAGTTACCGAACTCATGAGAGGCGGTACTCTTCAGAAGTTACTGTGGGGATTTCGTCCACAACCTCTTGAACTGAAGAGGTCACTAAGCTTGGCTTTGGATATCTCTCGAGCCATGGAGGCTTTGCACTCAAATGGCATCATTCACCGCGATCTAAAGCCGAGTAAACATGATATGCTCCATTTACGTATACATTCTGATCTTGTATAGTAAAGAAACAAAATTGAAATATTGCTTTCTGTGTCCAGAGAATGTATTGTTAAACAGTGATCGGACACAAGCGAAGCTGGCCGATTTTGGAGTTGCGAGAGAGGAGACTATGAGTGGTATGACTGGTGAGGCCGGCACTTACAGATGGATGGCTCCTGAGGTGAATCTTTGAGCTCAATCTTTGGACACAAGGTTTCATAGAAACATGTATAAATGAATGTTTTTTTATGTTTTGTATCCACAGGTATTTAGCTGTACAGATCTTAAAAAGGGGGAGAAGAAGCATTATGATCACAAAGCTGATGTTTACAGCTTCGCCATAGTTTTGTGGGAGTTGATTGCTAACAAACAACCATTCAGTAGACGGCATACACCTAATATAGCTTATGTTGTCAGCAAGGTAAAAAAAGTCACAAAAATCAACATTTTTCACCTGGAAAATCTTTTTGAAATGAAGGAGATATTTTGAAAAGGTTGGATTTTTTTTTTTTACAGAATGTGCGGCCAGAACTTGAATATATTCCGGATGAAATTGTTCCCATTCTAGAATCTTGTTGGGCACAGGACTCGAAGGCACGACCTGAGTTTAAGGAGATTACTGTCATGTTGACAAACTTGCTAAGCAGATTATGCTCAGACGGTAGCTGTGGTGCAGAAACGTCAACCTACGAAGCTGATGTCGACTCAACAGATGTAGAAGATGGCTCATGGAGCAGTCGGATTCAAGCGGCTTCAGGGAGCACTCAGCTTCAAGAGTATTGTTGCGAGGAGATGAAACCTAAGGAGAAGAAGAAGAAGAAGAAGATGGTGAAAGTGACGAATTTCATACGTCCTTTCTTCAAGATGTTCAGGGCTTGTTTGTACAAGCCATGATCAACTCTTGTGTTAGGAAAGATCGAGAAGCGTTTTGAGCTTCTCATTGTCTTTTTGCTAAAAGATTTCTATCATTACAAAACCCATAGGAAAGTTGAAACAAAAAGACAAGATTGAAGATGTTATCAGTCTTTGTTATTTTTGTTTTTTCTGGGTTTTGTTTTTTTTTTGTTGTGAAGAGAAAAAGAAAAAAAATAATGCATTGTTAATCTTCTTTTCATAAAAAAGTTTCTTTAGTGTATCGATCAATATATCCAAATTCAAACCTTGTAAAATGTATTATATACAACTAGCTTATATATATATATATCACTCAGGTAATCGAATGATACTTTGTTCCATTAGTATTAGTAAACAGATGACGAGTAAAAACTTGCAGAAATGAAAGATTATACACAAATAGAGTTTCTATGATGATACATTAAGAGGAGGTTAAACAGTCTGAATCGAAAATAAAAACTGGAAATTTCTTGAAAAGGGTTCCTGTGATGATAACTTTATATATACACAAATAAAAGCTTTGCAAAAAAAAATATTAAGTAAATAACTTTTTATAACTATTATACTTTTATGAAGCATATAGCTATTCTCCAACAACATTTAGGTAGAGGAGGTGATAAAACGATAATTATTTCTGGAGAATAATTCGTTACTTTAATTTCTCCAGAATAATTCTCCAGAAGTTTAAAGTATGATACCATTTTAACTGGCTAAATAAAGTAATTAAAATAATTCGGTGAAATTGATCCTGGCTTTAGGCAGTTAAAGTAACGAATTATTCACCGAATTATTTTAATTACTTTATTTAGCCAGTTAAAATGGTATATATCATACTTTAAACTTTTAAAAAAATTCGGTGAATATGCTATTCGACAGCTACACTCACCCTCAAAAGATAAGTGAGCGTTAAAAGTCCATCACTCATTAGCTATCCAAAAACAAACTTACTAAACCTAACATTTAATTACAAATATGATTATGTTGATGAACTAGTCTTCAATATAAAACATTATTGTCATTGAAATAATTAAACTGATAATTAAATGTTAGCTTCCCTTTAAATTAACAGATTAATTATTTCATATTATATAAATGATCGAATCTAAATCTTAACTGATGTTTTAAACCTATTAGAGCTTCATAAATCTCATATTGTAAACCACATGTGTCGATTGGTTTACTTGGAAAAAGAAAATTTTTATTCATTGTATAAAAGAGAATCGAATAACTCCAAACTAAGTTGAAAAAGAGAAAATTTGAAAACGGTTGGAAAAAAAAACACACATTTCACTATGGCTGGTTCGGTTTCCAAAGAAACAATTTACAATCAAACCAAGATTAGAAATTTGTCAACTGATTTGAACCGTGGGTTTTAGATATTTAGTATGTAAGGAAAATTTGGGCCTATTTTAAGATTAATGGGCTTTATTATAACGGTCTTTCAAATTATAGCGTGATAGGTATAAAATTATTTATATATATTTTATTTGATTTGTATATATTTTATTTGATTTGTATATATTTTTAATATAATAAAATTATTTATATATTTTAAATGAGTATTATATTTATTTTTTATTAACTTAAGTTATGTATTTATATGTTTTAAATCTGAATATAAATTATATATCATTAAGTTTTTTTATTTTTTAAAATTATAATCTACTATCAAATTTGTTTAGCTAACTATCTATAAATGTATATGTACAATAAAACAATATATTTTTAAGTACATTCAAGCTAATGGTAGATGTAATTTATTTTCTCTACTAAATTGCTACTTGATCCTCCTTTGAAATAATATAAAGCAAATTGCCATTTAAAAAATATTAATTAATATGATTATTTTAAATTACAAAATTTATTTATTTATCAAATATTTATTATAGACATATGTTTCTAAAACTACCATATTATAGTCAATAACATTCATATCAAAATCATTACTATTACTTTAGAACTAAATAGAAAGTTTTATTTGAACTATTGAAATATTAATTTAGTTGAAGTTAAATAATTCAATTTTGGTTACTATAAATATATTATAACTTAAAAATTTAGCACAGAGAAATTTTATCTTTTTACAAAAATCGAGAAATTGCATTTTTCGACAAAATAAAAAAAATTATTTCTCACGAAACTGAGAAATTGCTTATTCCCACCAAAACCAAAAAAATTATTTTCTCTTCAAACTTGAAATTTCATTTTCCTACCAAAACAAATAAATTGCATTTTCCCTAAAAAACCAAAAAAATCACATTTTCCTGCGAGAACCTGTGTTTTTCCGTCAAAACAGAGAAATCAAGTTTTTTCACCAAAACCAAAAAATTTCATCTTCCTGCAAAAACAAAAAATAGTATTTTTCCATCAAAAAATCGAGAAATCGTCTATTCCCACCAAAACAAGAAAAAAAGATTTTTCTCGTCAAATCAAGAATCACGTCTTCCTACCAAAACAGATAAACTACAATTTTCCGCAAAAACTAAAAATTACATTATCTCCTGAGAAATTGTGTTTCCCACGAAAACTAAGAAATCATATTTTCCCTCGAAAACCAAAAATCAAATTATATGTCAAAAACTGAAATTTTGCATTTCCCATCAAAACCAAAAAAAATTGTTTATTCCCGCTAAAATCGAGAAATTTTACTTTTCTATCAACCCGAGAAATTGTATTTTCTGCCAAAATTGTCAAATTAAAATTTTCCGCAAAAATCAAAAAATTAAATTATCCATCAAAAGCCGAAAAATTGCATTTTCTATCAAAACCGAGAAATTGTATTTTCGTCAAAATTGAAAAGTTGCATTTCTCTCATATTTTCTCGTCAAAATCAAATTTTTTATTTCTCACTAAAATCAAAAATTCACATTTTGCCACCAAACCCGAGAATTCGCTTTTTCCGTCATAACCGAGAAACTATGTTTTCCTACCAAAACTGAAAATCACATTTTTCTACCAAAACCAAGAAATTCTCTATTTCCGCCAAACCTACGAAAATTTGTTCTCGGTAACCAGTGAAAATGCGAATCTCCAAGCTGTGGTGGTCTGAGTTTCTCCTCATTTGTTTTCGCCTTCCATTTTTTTTTGTAAACTTTGGGCTTTTTAATGAGTCATCAAAATAGTAAATTGATTTTATTAATGTCTTAATAATATGTATTATTGTTATGTTTTTATTGGTTCAAATTTTTGCTGATGTGTGAGCTTCTTATAATATAACACTTTTTGCATTGTTGTTATGGAAGCATAATTGATGATGAGTCTACACTTTGTTCAATTATATACATCTCTATCAAGCAAACACATAGTTAGAAATTTAAATTTTTTTTGCTGTTATTTATTATTTGAGTTTCGGTTTGGCGAAAATATAAAACAAATATTTAATTTTATTATTTGTTGTTATTTATTATTTGGGTTTGTTAAAAAAATAAAACAAATTTTTTTTATTTGCTGTTATTTATTATTTGAGCTTGAGCTTGACCAAAAAATAAAAAATATTTGAATTTTTAATGGGTTTAAAATTAAAAGTTAAAATAAATTGATGACTTGTATTAATGAAATATTTTTATTGGTGTTTTTTTTTTGCTGAAACGTCATCTCTTAAAAGCTTGTAAATACTGATGTGTCAAGCCATGGAGAGACTTATGGGTTATTGTTGTGTTAATTTAAAAGTTAAAATAAATTGATGACTTGTATTAATGAAATGTTTTTATTGGTGTTTTTTTTTTGCTGAAATGTCATCTCCTAAAAGCTTGTAAATGCTGATGTGTCAAACCATGGAAAGACTTATGGATTATTATTGTGTTGATTGATTTTTACAAGAAGATGAAATTTTTTAGTTTTGGTGAAAAACCTTGATTTCTCTGTTTTAGCAGAAAAATATAGATTTGTGCGGGAAAATGTGTTTTTTTTTTACGGGGAAATACAATTTCTTTGTTTTGGTGGAAAACATTAATAAAATGTTTTGATTGGTTGTTAATTTTACTGATGTGTCAGTTTTTGGTAATTTGAAATAGCTGAGTTGTCAAGTTATGTAGAGACTTTAGTGTTATTGTTGTGTTGATTGTCATTTATCTTTAGTGTTTATCATATTAATCATTATGGACCTACAATACTATTGGCACAGCTAAAAAATCTATTGTCGAATCTCTTTTTCTGTTTGTCTATCGAATATCTAATCAAATCAGTGGTCAAAAATTATTTCTTGTAAATATTTCAATATTCGACCGAAATCTAACAAAAGACAATTGGGTCCCAAACTCTTTAAGATTTGGAAAAGAATTTCTATTAAAAGAAATAAATCTCATCTCCCTATAGCAATTCCGTTTAAGGCAATGAAAACAAAGCAATTCCATGTTATTGCATTCTCACGTAATTTTAGAGTCAAATCATCATCAGTCGTCGTCTCAACAGAGATTTCTTTGCGTTTAAGAATAACAGAGATATTAATTAATCAGCGTAAAATTAGCTGCAAAAATAAATTCAAATCTTAAACCTTCTCTTTCAAATGGAAGTTTTAGTTTCTTCGTTTACTACTCTTTAGTTCACCTGACACTAAAGCTAATTTGAACAAAAACATAGAAACTCCACAATCTCTTAAACATACTAACTTACTGTACTCACGATGATGTTCTTCTACCAAAGTCTTTCCCTGAAAACTCTCCTGATCCAAACGTAGCCGCCACATCTATGCCGCCGCTTCCTCCGACTAGAGCGGATAGTCCGTTTCCGGGACCACCGCCATTGCCAACCGCTCTACCTAACCCGAGAAAGTCTAATGTTGTCTGTTTCGGACCAAACACCGATGAGTTCCCCATCATGAGCTCTTTCAAACCCGAGCTGCTTTCACCGCCACAAGGCAGTCCCAATCCTAAACCATGAGGGGCTATTGAGTCCATAGAAGGTGAAGACGATGAAACTATGCCCAACCCTCGAAGCAACGAACCTCCAGAAGAAGCTGCTCCCATTTGAGCTGCTTTCTGAAGCAGAGCGGTTGCTGACATTGCCGGCTGAGTAGGGAACCGGGTCGACCCGAGAAATGACGATCCATGACTTGTTGAGAGACCCAATGAGATTGGTTCGATCGACGAGGATGGCGCGAATAGACTCTGTGAAGAAGAACAAGACGAAGATGTGTATATGCTTGGAGAAGCTGATGAAGATTCGAATAAGCCTGCGAAGCCGCCGTTTCTTGTAACGTGTACACCGGTCGGTCTTGGAGCTTCTTGCAAGATTTCAGGAGGGGTTTTTGGGGATTCTGCAAAATCGTGTAAAGTTAGAGACTTTTGTTTTTCTATATAATCAAATAGAAAATTTGGAGGGGCAGAGGAAAGCAAATCAATCATGTATCTTTGATTTATTTATCATAAAGAATGATTCAGCCATATAGAACACCAAAACTGACCAAACGAATTATGTTCTTAATCAGGTAACCGATAAAAAATATTACGACGCTACGGACAAAAACCTACTAAACTCCAAGATCACCGACCATTAACACAGATTTACAATTCTTCGTGTGTTATTGAAATAAAACAAGCAAACATAGCGACAAAAATGGATTCCAAATATTGCCTAATTTTGCTACTCTATTATTCTGTAACAGAGTTTTACTTTTACCTGATTGCTTAATCGTTAAAACCGGAGGAGGTTTGATCTTAGCAGGCTGAGTTTCCACCGGAGCAACCGAGGGATTCGGAGACGAAGGTGAAGTAGCTGCAGCTACTGATTTCGGGTCGGGTACTGGTTTCTTCCGGGTCAAAACTTCCGGATTCTGCTTCTTACTATGATGATTGTGGCTTCTCGCACTTTCTTCAGCCAAAGCATCACAGAAAGCTCTATGCGTTATAAAGCTATCCCTCCTACAAGAGAAAAGAACAATCAAAAAATTTAAGAGTTTTTAAAAGATTTGGAGATTGCAAAAAAAAAAAAATCGAATTTTTGGGGGACTTTACCTAGAAAACAGAGTACCACAATCGCATTTATACTCTTTAGTGCCACAAATCTTCGAGTGAGCTTTCCAATCAGACACAACAGCGTATTTCTTGGAGCATTTATCGCATTTCCACTTCTTCTCGCCGTGTTTCCGACAAAAGTGTTTCTTGATTCCGGTGAGATCTCCTAGAGCGCGTGAAGGGTCGTGATGAACACAGCTAAACTCAGGACAGACGTAAACCTTTTTCCTGACTTCTTTGCTCGATTTCTGTCTGAGTTTCCACGGCAAATTGTGACCTCGACGGTGAAGCTGCAGATTCTGGTCTCTCTGGAATCCTTTGTTGCAGATTTCGCAGACGAATCGGTTTGTTGCTAGTAAGGTTTTTGGTGACAAAGCTATGACTTCTGAGTCTGGATCTGAACAAACAAAAACAAAAAAAGGGCCATAACAGAGTCAAAAATGAAGAATTTCTGATTTGAGTTACATAAAGTTTGGATTTTTAAGTTACCGGGCATGCCGGGGAGGTTTCGTTTCTTCTTTCCGGCGATTTTCGGAAGTGGGTTTTGATTTCCGGTGGAGGAGACACTTGCCTCGCCGGAAAATGTGGAGGTGTTATCTAAATCTACCGGCATCTTCAACAAAATTGGCACTTTTTTTATTTTTTCCTACTGATTCTTGAAGTAACCCAGAGGGAAAAAATAAAGCAAGACGAAGAAATTTTCAGCTCATTTTCGTCAACCAAGTTTCAACCTTTAGGGTTTATCTTTACCCTCTCTCTCTCTCTCTCTCTCTCTATATTTCTCCTCCGTTGTTCTTCAGCTACCAGTCAATCTGCTTTTCGTAAAAACCTCTTTTTCGCTACCTACTTTTCTGATAACGATCAAAACAAAAATTAAAACTACAAAGAAAAAACAAAACTTTCATTTAAACCAAAGACTCCTCCACTGAAAACGGCGATTTCTCAGATCCAACGGCTGAGATTTCACCGGAGAGAAACGCCGTTGGTCTTCCGTTCTCACAAAGCTCTGATTTTTTTGCTTTGATTTTTGTTCTTTTTCGAAAGAGACAGAGAAAGAAGAAGAATAAGGCGGCTCGTGAGATTTCGTGTGAAAGAAAGCTATGACCCTTTTTTTTTTGTTGGTTTCCCTTTGCTTCTTCCGAGACAAATGAGCCTTTCTTCTTCTTCTTCTCTCTCTCTCAGCACAATTATTATTTTTTATTTTTTCTCTTTAATCGATTTTCAACTTTTCAACACTTTGGATATTTTAAAATTTTGGAAATTTTTTTAAATAATAGTTTTGAGCCATCTAAAAGAAATATTTTGTCGATCCTTGTGGGGTTCGAGTGTTTTCAAGTATCTATCTTGATTCTAGACTCCCATGCATTTTTAAATATATATTCTGAAAAAATATCAATCTCATTGTCTTTCTTGAATTCTTTTAGCTAGTAATCTCATCGCCTACTCATTTAAATTACAATGGATAAGAAACCTTACAAAGTTAGTAGATAAAGCAGTTCTCTGTCAATGATTGTGCTGAAAAAAAAAAATTGCATATGAATATGTCAGTTGTGTTATTATGCAAATTCAAATCTAATTGTAAGAGAATAGAACGTACTAGTCCATTAACAATTAAAGTTGTTTTCTGCTTCTCTTTCAAAATTTTTGATCCATAATAGTGCTGATAATAAAAATAAAAACTTTCTGAAAAAGTAAAGTGATTTAATCTATAAATTCGTAGGAACCGTTTGCTGTTATTGGAAACGTTTAGTATAATTTGTTTTGAGTTGTAGATGACGAAAGAAGCCATAAAATGGTAAAAATGAAATTTTTGAGGTTTAATAACGTAAGGAAAAAACAAAAACAGAGCGAGAGAGTTAAAAGAAAAAAAAGATTCACTGCCGTTGTCCTTAAGCGAAGACAGTGGAGGATTTACCGTCTTGTTGTCGGACCAAAACACCACCGTTGAAAAAGTAATTTCCATATTTGTCGATAAAACAACAATAAGAGAAGAGAAACAATTACGGAAGTTTTGAAATTACAGTTGAATCTGTCGTCTAGCGATGTGATATCAAAACTATTTCAAGTGTTCCTGATTATAATCATACTATTACACATTTAATGCAATTTGAATGCGTGATTTGTTGACTTTGACCTGTTACGAGTATCTACATGCTACATTATTACTAGGGGTGGGCAAAATATCAGTAATATTCGCTTCGAACCGATATTTGCTTCGATCCGATTCGAAAAATCCAGATATCCGTAAAGCCTCGGAGCAAAGCAAATAGCAAAATATAGTATTGGAACAAAACGAAGCAAATCACAAATGTATTTCTAGACAATGTCGGATATCCGATCCGATCCGTATCTTTATAAATTTATTATATATTAGTATATATTATCATGTATATATCAATTATATTATAAATTTTAATTAATATACTCTAGATTTTTTTCCTAAATTTTCAATTGTTTATAATTCTTTTGATTATATAAAATAAATAACTAAATAATCAATCATAAAAAAATAAATAATATGCTTAAACTTAAAATATGTAAATAAATATTATTTTATTTGATATTAGTTAATAAATATCAACAAAGATTTTTTTAGTAAAATTTAATATTAAAGTTTCAGATAGTTAATATTATTTTTATATATAAAATGTCATTTTTTCCTCATCTTAATTTTGTAGGTTTATGTTTCATATATTTTTTATAAAATAAAATGTTTTCTTTTAGTTATTTTCACTTAAAGTTTAGATGAAATCTATTTTTTATAATAAAAATTGATGTATTTTCAATTTTCTATATATTAAACGGATCAAACTAAATATTCATAAATATCTGTAAATATCCGCAAATATCCGCAAATATTTTTAAATTTTCCCGATATCCGAAATTCCGGATATTCATATATTTTCGGAGCAAATCAAATCATACAATTAAATATTCGTTAAAAATAGAGCAAATCACAAATAGTTAAAAATTTCCGGATATCCGATCCGCGTCTGCCCATAATTATTACTACGTGATTTTGATACAAGGGCCTCGTAAGTGTTTGAGAGCTGTTAAGATGTCGCCAAGTGTGTCGTATAATTTCATCACGCCCGTTGGATAAAATTTGAGCCAGATAACACCTTTCTAACAATAATTAATTGTCCTCTTTGTCATAATTTATGTTATTCATAAAATCATAAGATTGAATTGATTTAGTTTTCTACTTTTGCATTTGATAAAAAGAAAAAAGAAGGATGAGTGCTACTTTTTTTAATTCCAAGATCCATCAAAAACTAGTGTTTGACTTTATAAACATTTTTTTTCTACTATCTAATTTTATATGAGTTTTTAAACAACATTATTTTAGGCGTGACAGGGTTCCTCAAGATTCCTGAAACACTGTTTAGCCAGCTTTGAAATTCCCTTTTCCTACAAAGAAAAAGTTTCAGCACTATCTAGTAATCAAATTAAAGAAATAATAAAGAGAACTGTACTCGCCGTAATATGGTGTTAACTGTTAAATGGGCTTTTTAGCCAATAACCATATTAGAAAAACAATCCAAAAATATAACTATTTTATTTAAAAAATTTGATAAATAATCATGACTTTTAGAGAAATTACAATACAGTCCTTCAATTTTAAGTGGGAGTAGATACTGTAAAATTTGCTTATGATGTCATTGCTGTATAAGTGCTTGGTGCTTGCACTGTCCATCTTTGCTGCAACGTCAAAGCCGTTTACAAACCAAAATGCCTAACTCATATGGTCTCTGCAGCGGCAAGAGCATACGCTGTGAGGGGCTTCAATCACCTGTTTGTACAGATCCAACGCATAAACCTTGGATATGCAGCTTGTTTTGTTGACATAGGTAACAAATACTATACTATATGTGAGAGCTTATAAAATAGTACACATAACATAGTCGTCTTTTATTGTTTTTAAGATTTGCACATTGGTTGCATGCCCACGTAAGGGAAATCGATTCAACATAATGGACTCCAACATTGCCGAATCCTGGAACGCAGTACTAAAAGAAGCAAGAGAGTTTCCGCTTATTTGTACGACTATATGAAACATATAGTATAGTATTGTACTCATTTGAAACACTATGACCTATTAACTTGTATAGTACCTACAAGCGTGGAATCTACCCTGGAAGATGTACCATATGAAGATGATAATCTATTTATGAATCGTGTATTCAAATCAAAGAGTAACTGCAAAATCAAAATCGTCAATTATAATGGTGGACTCTTTCTATATATGTATCAATTGATATGTTAAAATTTATTCTCATTTTTTACTACTAACGTCAGCAATTATTTTCACTTCATTTTAAATAAAGGAGTTTTTAGTATATATTGTAGAATATATAAAAAATATAATAACACCTACTTTAATATGATTATTTTCTGAATTATAGCTTTTGATATAGCTATATCAACTAATTTCTCCTGTTAAATAGACGCATTCTAAAATAGAAAAAAAAATAGAATTTTTTAGAATACGTTTACCTTTAAAAACAAAAATCAAAATATTACTGGACTACAAAAATAAATAAGTGAAGTGATGTGATGTTGTCATGAGTCGACATTATTGGGCCCCAAAATCTCTTTTATCCCGACCTGAGCCCATTAAGTTTGTAGGTTGTTATCATTTTTCTTACAATTTTGTTTCCAACACATGTGTGTTTGCTCTCTCACTCAACATTCTGACTCAACAAAGTTCGACGCTTAAACTGAGAGATCATGAGATAAGTACAATTAAATGCATACAAACATGTAATAAACACGGTGTGCAAAAATTGACGTTACATACTTACGTATGGGTGAAAAAAAAAAAAAAAACTTTGCAAATGTTATGGCATAAAATATTATAAACCAGGTGGAAATGGCCGCGTTGAAAGTTTCACCATGGAGATAAATTCGAGAAGAGTCTTAAGAGTATTCACAATGGTGAAATTTTTAAAATAATTATTTTATTGTAATTTAAGATATATAATTAAATTTTAATATTTAAAAAAGAATTTGCCAATCAAAAAAAGACAATTGTATAAATGAGTCTCTTAAAAGTTTAAGATCAATTCTTATTTTAGAAATTTTAGAACTTTCTCTCTCATATTTCTTCTAACTTTTTATTTTTTTTTCTTTTTTAATATTAAGATACTTTCTCTAAAAAACTCTATTGCACATGGTCTAATAGCAACAAACAAAGAAATGGGTATGGTTGGTTTCGTGTCATGGAATAAAGAGTCAATTTTATGGTGTCTCAAATTAACTCGCGTTTTTCTGACTATAAAGTCATTTGCAGAAACAACCTAACATTCTCTTATTGTTGTCGTGAGCAGTCATGGTTATTCTTCACGGGACCATCGAGATCGCTTTTTACTTTTGTATTGAATTACTGTGGTTCAGTGAACAACAGGATGGATTTAAATCCACAATCGATGTCGTTTCTAGGCGCTATATGCTTACATTACATTGGCGAGAACATAATCAACAGTGAATATTGCTTAATCATGAAATGAAGAATCTCCCATCGGTTTGAGAGTCGCATAATTGTCATGGTGAATAAGTCTATTATTACTATAGTATGAACTATGTAAAAAAAATAAAAAAAAATTCAACCCAAAACACATACATACTATTTTTATTTATACTAGTATAGAACAATATTACACAAAAATTCACTTCAGTCATATGATTTAAATTTATAAAACACTACACTAATGTCTTGTAGACATTTGATAAGTCATCAAGCAAAAAAGAAAGAACGAACAAAAAACAAAGATAATGGCGTCTTTGTAAATATGTCAAACAAAGGGGCCCACTATTAGTTTACACTTTGCACCACACTACAGAACTATTCCCATCTACACCAAAACTAATCCAAAATTATGTGGTAACAGGTGATGGTTCAAAAGCCCATCTTTCTCTCTCGCTCTACCTTTTCTTCTCTCTCTCTCAAAATGCTTCTACTATCTCCGATCTCCACCTCTCTACCACCTTCGTTTCACCAGAGAAAATCGATCCGGCGACCAATTAAGACGTTATGTAGGGTCGTAGCAAAGGCTAAAGACAATACCGACGACACTGGCGGATTTCTTGAGACGGCGGCTGTTGTCGGTGGTTTAGTGTCGACGCCGGTTATTGGATGGTCTCTCTACACTTTGAAGACAACTGGTTGTGGTTTACCTCCAGGACCGGCCGGTTCAATCGGAGCGTTGGAAGGTGTGAGCTACCTGGTGGTGTTGGGCATCGTGGGATGGTCTCTATACACCAAGACAAAAACCGGGTCGGGTCTGCCAAATGGGCCGTTTGGTTTGCTTGGTGCGGTCGAGGGCTTGTCTTACCTGTCGGTTCTAGCCATTCTTGTGGTGTTCGGTCTTCAGTTTTTGGATAACGGGTCGGTTCCTGGTCCGCTCCCTAGTGACCAGTGTTTCGGTTAACCAATTTCTTTTTTTGTGGCGTCTGTCACGTGTAATGTCGTATACCAAACGTGTCAATTAATGATTGCTTCCATTAACCAGATTTGCAATTGCATGCAGAGATTTCTATATAAAATTCAAGAAGGATAATCTGTAATCAAAATGCCAAAGAACGTTTTAAATAGACCGGCTATATCGACACGGCGTCGTTTTCTCCTCTTGGTTATCTTTTTCGATCCAATTTATTAATAACCGGAATCCGGTATAAGATTTATTTTGGATTCGTTAATTTCGATCGTCTCTGCGAATCCAATCCCTCTCACTTACCTCCTGAAAAACCCTAGCTGAGCTCCGAGATCTCTTGTCGCCATGGGAGACTCCAATGATCCTTTCATGCGTGACCAGAACGCCGCCGTTCAGGCGCGCACTAAGGCTCAGAACAGAGCTAATGTTCTTCAGCTCAAGCTGGTTAGTCTCTCTTATCTCGAATTCGCCGATTCTTGATTCCTCTTCTCTCTCTCTCTCTCTCTCTAGTATTTAGCTTCGTTCTCTATCGGTATAGCTAATGATTCCGTTGTTCTACTTAGATATCGATTCCCTCGATTGAATACTCAATATTTTTGATGCTTGCATCAATTCTAGATCGGATTGGTTTGTAAAACTCGGAATTTAGTTTCCAATTTTATTGACTGTTTTGATCTTGAGCTATTTTCAGAATTTGGAACTATTCTGATTGTTGAAATTCGTTCAGGGAAGATTTGTTGTTGCCTTAAAGTTGATATCTTGATAATCTGCAGATGGGTCAAGGCCACCCTACTGGGTTAACAAACAATCTCTTGAAGCTCTTTGAGCCACGGCCGCCATTGGAGTACAAACCACCACCGGAGAAGAGGAAATGCCCACCTTATACAGGTCTTAACACTTTGTATATCCGATTTTGCTTTTGCTTTGGATGTGAGTTTAACACTTTGTACTTTCATTTTAGGCATGGCTCTGTTCGTGAGTAACTTCGCTGAGCCTGGAGATCCTGAATACGCTCCACCTAAGCCAGAAGTTGAATTACCTGTATGGTGAAGCACCTTTATACTGTTTCGTTTTTGGGAGATTTTTACACAGATCAGTGCCTTTATTAGTCGCGTGTTTTTGTTTCCAGGCTCAGAAAAGGGAGAGAATTCAGAAACTACGACTGGAGAAAGGTGTTGAAAAAGCTGCAGAGGACTTGAAGAAATGTAATTACATCCACCATTCATTTTAACGTATGTTCGTTTCATGCGCTTTTACGGTTTTTGAGGAATCTAATCTTATTTGAAATCTTATATGCAGATGACCCTAATAGTGATCCTAATGCTTCTGGAGATCCATACAAGACATTATTCGTTTCAAGACTCGTAAGTTGTGCTCTTTTTTTTTTTTGGTTAAATGGCTTTACTTAGACGGGTGAGTTTTGTTGTGCTTGACTTTAGCCTGTTATCCTTTTTTGCAGAACTACGAATCCACTGAGAGTAAGATTAAAAGGGAGTTTGAATCTTATGGACCAATTAAACGGGTAGGTTATTCTGAGCATTCCCTTGCGGGTTCGGTAAGAAGTTATGTAATGGCTTCCCCCTCTCTAGCTCTTTGCTCAATTCCTTAAGAGAAAAAATGCACTTTATCTACTAAACCAAAAAGGTCGATCTGCTTCTGAATAGCCATATCTAGTCACTTGGAACTTTCTCTAGTAAGTAAATTATAGATGCATATAGTCAATCTCGTGTAATTGTCACAAACCTCTTCTGAGATGTTCGGACAAATACTCTATTCATTATAAATGCTATAGGGTTGTAGGGCGCGAGAGTTTAATCAGTGAAATATTTACTCATCCTGGTAAGAAAAATGCTTATTTAGAGATATTTTCTGCCTTATTCACAAGCGATTCCGTCCCAAAGAAAATGCTTCATCAGGTTACTGGTATTAAACTATTTACGCCGTTGACAGTATCAGAAACCTTTCTTGCTCTTCGTATTTTAACTTGTTAATAGGGACTTAGGAATACTATATATGAAGGCGATCTGGTTCACTTTTGTGTACATTTTTTTAGTAATCTGAATTTGGAAGATGTTTCTATACCCTGGTAAGGGGTGGTTTATTAGACCTTTCGGAAATGGTAAATTTGCTGCAATGCATGGGTGGTGACGGTCTCGGATTTGGAAGCCTATTAAATTAAAGGTTGCCTTACCTTATAGAGCTGCCTGTTTGTTTGATATGAAACACACTGTTATCTGAAATTTGATCCTTGTTCTTGCAGATCTTTGATTTGTTAATGTCTTCTTCTTAAAACTCCTCAGGTTCAAGTGGTGAGTGACCAGCTGACCAACAAACCAAGAGGATATGCTTTCATTGAGTACATGCACACCCGTGACATGAAAGGTCACATCGCATCTATATTCTCTCAATCCTGTTTTTCTTTCTTTTTATTCTTTCTTGCTGACTGTGCGTTTGTGTGCTTTGTTGATCTTTCCTTACAGCTGCATATAAACAAGCTGATGGACAAAAGATTGACGGTAGAAGAGTGTTGGTTGATGTTGAGAGAGGTAGAACCGTCCCAAACTGGCGTCCACGCAGGCTTGGTGGTGGACTTGGGGCCTCAAGAGTCGGTGGTGGTGGTGGTGGTGGTGAAGAAACTGTTGGCGAACAACAACAGCAGCAAGGTAGAACATCCCGGTCAGAGGAGCCAACAAGGCCACGAGAAGAGCGGTAAGGATATTTTTTTGTTTTTCTTTCACCACTAAGCTCTTTTGCGTTGTTTATTGTGCTGATAATGTTGTGTCTTTGCAGTGAGAAATCTCGGGAAAAAGGAAAAGAAAGGGAACGAGAAAGGTCTCGTGAGCTGTCGATTGAACAGCCTCGAGAGCGGTCTCATGACAGGCCGAGAGAAGATAGAGAGAGAGAAAGCAGACGTGACCGAGGAGGCAGAGATAGGGATAGAGAAAGAGACAGCAGACGGGACCGTGACCGGAACCGTGATAGAGGTGATAGAGACCGACGCGACCGTGACAGAGGACGAGATCGCTCTACAAGGGATCATGACAGAGAGCGTGATAGAAAGAGGGAGCGAGACTACGAAGGAGGTGAATATGAGCATGAAGGTGGTGGTAGGTCCCGTGAAAGAGAGCCGGAGTATGAACGGAGCGTGTCAAAGCACCATGACCGAGACAGACATGGCGAGCCAGCAGAGAGCCGTAGCAACTACTACGAAGACGATCAAGGGGAGACAGACCGGTATAGTAATCGGTACGATAAAATGGAGGAAGACGAGTACAACAGATATGAGCATGATTACAAGCGGTCTGAGAGATCAGAGTCACGTGAGTATGCTCGCTGATGTTTAATGTTTTTGTTTTAAAGTTTTGTTTCAACAAAAAAGTGAGTCTAAAAACTCTGGAACTTGGGGATCGTTTGTTTTTCCTTTATTATAAATCAAACATAATGCAATTTTGTTTATTACTATTGAATATTCTTTGCTCGTCTTGTGATCGCTATTTTATTGTTGTACACCAATGTTTTCATGTAATCATTTAATTTTATTTAATCAAAATCTTATGTTATTTGTTTTATGAATTTTAAATCCAAATTGGTTAAAAGACTACTTTTTTCAAATTATCATATGTGGAATGTGTACCCACCTTTTATATATAAACGTAAGCCCAAGCCTAACCCATGTGTGTTAAGGTTTCTCTCAAGAGGATGAAAATCGATATAAACTTTTGCTCATCAAACTTTTTTTTTTTCTTGGTCAACAACAATTCTAATGTAAAAACTGCTTTGATAATTTATCACTTCTTTTGAACAAAAAAAAAAAAAAAAAAAAAAAAAAGAAAGATAATTTATCACTTCTAACAAAAATTAAAAAGCTCCGATGCCGGGAATCGAACCCGGGTCTCCTGGGTGAAAGCCAGATATCCTAACCGCTGGACGACATCGGATTCTTGTTAATAGACTTCAATAAACATTATTAATAGGAATGGATAATCTAAACATCGACAAGTACGTGTTTACGATATAAAACAAATTGATACATACACATTCGTTTTGATATTTTGATGGTTCATAATAAAAGATTATTAAATCCAAGGTCAAACACTTCATGCGTTTAAGTATTTTATATATATATACATAGAACACGTCTCTTGTTACTTAGATCGGGACACATGCTCAAGGGTCGTATTTGGGTAAGAACTATATTAGATTACTAATACAACAAAAAGCCAGCCAAAGATTTATTAAATCTCTATTTTTTTGGGTTGATCATCGTTTTGCTTCGCTAAGTTTGTTCTCTTGATTACAAGTTACTCATTTTGTTTGTGCTAGCCTTTTGATATTGTTTTATATATTAACCTACAAATATGTTTTTCTTCTTTTGGAATCATAGATATATAGAGAACGAATAGCTTACGTATTATTGTATAGATTTTATTTAACATCATAGATATAGAGAACGAATAACTTACTTACGTATTAACTCACTTTCAAAAAGTTTTTGTTTACTTAATGACCCATTAACACTCATACGAGCAGTAACAATCGCAAACAAATCTCACCCCAGCTAGCTTATTTCTAGGACATGCTTATGGAAATCAATTGAAGATAAAGTATTAATTAAAATATAAGATCAGTAGTGGATAAAAACTAATTATCATAATAATTAACAAAAATGAATCTGGAAAGGGACCAGAGCCGAAAGTAAAAGGGGAGTACGCTATAATGTTAACCCCATGCGAAACCTAAAGAGGGTCCAACAACTCAACACTCTTCTCTTCTATTCTTTCTCTCCCTTTTTTTCTTTTGTTTATAATAATATTTGTCAATTTTCTATATATATTGCAACGTCTTTTTTTACTACAGTCAAATACAAGCCATGATTTTAAATTATTTCTTTTTATAAACAATCTAGAATTTGTCTTACTAATGTTTGCCATTAACCACACATATACACACATAACGTTTATTAATTTAAATTGGTTTCTTTTACTTAACATCATTTGCTTCATGGGGCTTCTATCTGAAGCCTCCTCCTTCCATTCTATATGGTTTTTTTTCCACATACTTATATTTAGTTTATAAAAATAAGTAAATGGTTCATATCGAGGATATAGCACAAGAAAATCTATATTGATGTGTATATATATACCTTATATATATATATATATAGTTGCAAACAAGTTATGCATTAATGTGTTGTACTTAGCTGTAAATCCATGAGGGAAAATCTAGCTCAATACTCTTCTGCATTAAGATTTTAACAGAGATTAGACAGTTTGTTCCTTTTCAAAACGTCTATAAGAAAAACTTCAATGTAAAAAGAGTAGACTTATCATTTTAATTTAATTTTGTTACTCATTAAGCATAAGCATTCAAGCAAAGCCTTTGTGAAATAGAGAAAGGTACAGACAAAAAGAAGGGAAAGGAGTCAAAAATTGTGAGCAACTAGTTCCAAAAAGTAGAGGGACGATATGATTCAAAGCATGAGAACTATGTATTACATATATAAACTTATATATCGAGCAAAGTAAATGATAAGAGACGAAGAAAAAAAATGAATTGAAGGGAGAGGGAGATTGCGCTCGTGAGCAATGATTGAAATTCAATCATAACTTTTGCAGGTGGCTGTAGGGAACCCCCATGCACACCTTCTTCATATCTTCACCTAAATTTCCATTTTTTTGTAATAAGATTCAGACGGTACATGATCGATCATTTATGTGTATGTAGTTATGTACCAATGAAGTACTGTGAACCACAAGAGCTAGAGTTTGTAATCTATTATCTATGGAACTAATCTTACTAAATATATATAATTCCAATTAAAATCAATATTATGTCACATTTACGGTCGTCATCTTTTTCATATCGGTCATTCACTGTTTTACAGCGTGTACTTTAAAGTAAGAAGAATATAATTGATGCTATTCAATTTCTTAAGACTATAATTTTCAAATGGGAGACTTTGGAAATTTAGTTTTCCATTACCAAAACAAATTCTTGTCTTGCTAGGTAGTATGTGGTATGCGATAGATTGTAAAAATAAAATGTCGCATTAATTTAAGGTATATTTGTCGGTCGAGGGATGCAAAGAAAAGTGAAGTGATGGGAATTTAATCTGCTCGAGATGGGGGGAAAAGACAAAAATAAAATAAAGAAACGTACCTAACAAGTATGTATGAATGATTGAGATTTTGTCATATTGATTTGATAGAGATAGTGATTATCCTATTTTTATTTTTCAATTGTTTGTACCCATCTCTGTCTCTCTCGATCCGAGTCCTAACTTTTTAGTTTCCAGTCAACAAAATTTAACTTTTGTTATTTTTGTTAAGTCATATCAAATTTATGGATCGTCGACAAAAATAATTGATTCCAAGATTATTTAGTAGCTACGTACACCACCACTAGATCGCGTCAATATATAATCAAGTCGGTCTAACTACGTTGGTCATTTTCTTTGTCTCTTTCCGAGTTTGGAAAATTTAAATTATGGGTTTGAATATTAGTTTATTTTTTGGTGGAAATTTAGAAATATTGATGGAATTTTTTGAGAAATACATGATGTTCACCTTTTCAGAAATTGGCCGAGAAAATCTACTTAAAAGAAAATAGAGGTAATTTTTTTTTTGGTCTTTTCCTGAGTTTAGAAAATTCAGATTACGAGTTTTAATATTAGTTTATTTTTTTGTGGAAGTTTTTGAGAAATACATGATGTTACAATACTCTTTCAAAAATTAGCCGAAAAAATGAAATTAGAGAAAATTTGTTTACAAACAAAATAGAGGCAATTCATTTTCTTTGTCTCTTTTCAAATTTGGAAAATTCAAATTACGGATTTGAATATAATTCATTTTTTGTGGAAGTTTAAAAAAAAATAGAGGAAAAGCATGATGTTACATCCTCTCAGAAATTAGCCGAGAAAATAAAATTAGAGAAAATGGTTTTAAAAAAATTAGAGGCAATTGTTAATTTGTTAGTTAAATTTTGTTTGACTACGTGTTTATAAACTAAATAAAATTAAATGAATGCATGTTGCTAAAAGAGCAGAAAACATGAATTGTTTTATTCATGTAGATATGCCTAAATACTTTCTCCCCTATGGATAAAAAAAGATTTAATTGATAGATCTTTAGCAAATACGTTCATCAGATATCGTTTTTAAATTTTGCCAAATCCCACTAATACTCTTTCTTCATCCAAATCAACATTTACACTCTCCATTTTGACCAAGAAAAAAAAAACTACTTACAAGAAGCTTAAAGAAAAACTAATTTTAAGAAAACTGTCGAAACATATTTGGTTTGAAAAATAAAGCCAAGCATATTGGAAACAAGTTTGAGATAGCGCAAGTTGTTGTAATTCGTGAGTTCAAATTTTTGTAAAGTGTTTAAAATATACTATTGTCCATAATCTTAGTGTTTGTACGTATATCCGGTTGGAAAAAAAAAGGAGTACAAACTGTACGTGCATGGGCTGAAAATTTGGTTCGTTATCGATGGTAAATTATTTGAAATTCAGATTAACGAATTATAAAAGAAATTAACGATAACGAAACTAAAACTAGTTAGTAGGTAGTAGTAGTAGCCACATGCTCAACTCAACCAGTACTAGATTGCGTCATTATATAAAAAATATCAAGTCGGTCTTAACTTTGTTGGTCCTTTTAATTTGTCTCTTTCAGAGTTTAAAGAAGTCGAATTACTCACAATCAAACAATGATGTTATGGAAGAGCTCATTTCAAAGAAGCCTGCTTTAGGCACCGTGGAAAAATATGTGAGCTGCAGAAATATATATACAATACAACCATTTAAAACCCTATATAATCAACTTTTAAAAAATACAACCTATAGATCTCTATTACGAAAAAAAAATTATGAATAAGAAAAAATCTAAAACCCAAACGAGAGTAGTATAAAATCCCAATAAATAACGAAGTCCACCAACCGAAATCAACAAATCTAACACAAAGAAAAAAAAAACAGGCAAGAGATCAAAAAGACGTGAAAAATACTCACACCAATTAGGCCAAACAGGAGCACAAAATATCCTTTTCACCATCACTTTCTGTACATTTCACCACTAGCACATTTCTCGGAGAGCCGACGTGATGAAAGCAATCACATACAGTACATATTAACAAATAAATCCGAAAAGGCAAAAAAAGAAAATGATATGGAACATGATACATATACCGTGGATGAGATCTAATTGACAAAAATTTGATCCACCATAACAAATATATCTCCATTGAGATCATATTTGAAGGGATTCAAGCAGAAAAGTATTGCTAGACTAAAAAAGAGTTGATCAATTTGTAATCAGTGAGTTTAAGACTATTCAAAGATTTAAGTTTATATATTATCATCCTAATGTTATGTAAAATATTTATGTGGACTTAGATTTTGTTTTATATAAGATCATTTATAATATACATTGCTATTTTTTTCTCTAAAAATAGAGGAACGCTAAAATAGAGGTAGATCCTTTCGAATATATTTTTCTATTTTTTCTTCTAGAAATATATACTTTTTATAATTTATTAATAATACTTTTTATTTCTAA